CCGGCGCGATCAAGGTGGCCAATCCGTGACCACCCATGCTCGTGACCTACCATCCACGCCAACACGGTGTTAGGCTGTGTTAGTTCAACAACAAATACTGTGAGGTAGCGACTTCGCTACACTCCGGCAGGCGCGTCTTGTTTGTATTTTGTGCGGTTGATTTCCACTTTGATGGCCCTTATTTTTTTCTTGATACGATCCTTCGAATCAGGTACTCTACAAGGAGCTCTATGTTGCTTCTTCTTGCTGAACAGGAAGTCCAGGGCCGTATCCATGACAACAACGCAATACCAGCATGATTTTTCCTCAGTTCTGCAATCGTCAGGACCGTTGTTCTTTCCAAGGCATAGTCGGCAACGCCTTTCCCTCTGTATGAACCGGTAACGCTCGTCACCATCAGTGATCAATGAGCAGGATTCTGAATAGTGGCGCCCGTAAATGCCACAGAAGGTACATTTCATGTGCTCAGGGACAGTTTCAGGTCCGATTTTTCTGTGAGGTAGTAGGGTGCGTCCCTGATAAAGTTGGTCCAGCTCGTTTTCTAAGTCTTCAATGTATTCCTGGCGATCTCTACGCCGGCTTTCTTTTTCTTTTTGGCGACGTACGTTATATTTGTCGTGGTCGTCGTGGTTTTCCTCAACTAGTTTCTCCATGTAATCACCGTCCGACAGCAGTTGAACTTTGCGCATAGTTGGATCTCCGGGATCATTCTCAGGAACGTCGTCTTTTGTCATGACTGTTTCGAGGTTGATTTTCCTTCATCTTGACTATAGCGTCAACGATTGTTTTTTCAACTTTCTCCATTGCAGTGTTGAATGTGCTGATGAGGTTGGGGAGTTTTCGGTTTTTTCTGCAACCACTTTTTTCCTGCAATGTTGATCTCTTCTTCGATGTCAGCAATGTGTCGGTCCAATATCTTCAGTTCGCATGCCACCTTCGAGGATAGTTGATTGGTACCATGTTCCTTATCTTCGTACCATTGCTCTTTTCTTTTTTCTGAAACACGACCGATCTCGGTTGTCATGCGGAATATGGAGTTTACCAGCATGTAGCGCTGTGTGTACCACAAGATCTTTTCCTTTGCATATTCTGCAGTCCTCAGTAAGCGACTCGCATACAGCATGAGTTCTCCTCCACTTAGTTGTTTTTCAGTCGTGGATAGGAGATGGTGATTGAGCTGCGAATCCAGTGTTCGGGCCATTTTTAGGTGCTGCTTAATCTCGTGTAGGGATGTTGTCATGTTGATTTCCAAATCATCCGCCGAGATTTCTTCCATGTAGAGCGAAGCGGTAAATTCGAAGTCCGCCTTCTACGCACTTTCTTCAGCCATGATGATAAATGGCGGTCTGAAATGATGCATATATCGAGGATGGAACGAATACTGTACTTAGTTATTGTACGTCATGGGAACTGATGATATTGCTTTTATATTGATGGTTTTATTGATTGGTTGAAATATAGAATGGATTATTTCATTTTTTGCTATGGGATAGTTAATTTCAAGAAATCCCGTGCATGGGTCAGGATAGGCGACTTTTATGCCCCACTTTCGTGGATTCGGATCGTGTTGTAACATCCGGCACCCTATTGTTGAGGGTC